CGCATTCGTTTAGATTTTATGAGCATTGAACCGAGCGTTTATCGGGTACAGGCTACAGACTCGAGCGCACAGCAGGTAGGGCCGCTTCAGGTAGTCGCTCTTTGTACTTACGTAGTCCCCCTTGTAGGAAACCCCACCTTTGTATCTGTAAACGCTGGGCCGAGAAAAAATGTCGGACGCTCGACGCGATGTCGGGACTCGAACCGAGGACCTCGTTGAGTTCGTAACACAAAGCCACCGCCTTGCCGCGGAGCCACACAGCCCGACACGTAGATCTTTAGTTGATATCTTACATATCTTTCTTTTCCAATAACGGTATAGAAGGTACTAGAAGCATCAACACAACGGATTATTTCGGTTATATTCTATCTCTTAAAAAAACCTTTTTTTAAAAAAGAAAAAAGCATACGCCAAGTGCATAAGAAAGATATTGAACTTCTTGATCCAAAACAGATATGAGATAAATATAATTGACCTAGTGTATTCTTCATTACGCCAGTCACATATAAAACAGACCGAAAGTGACTATAATTGTCAACTGTATTATAGTGAAGAAAAAACTTGGCGTGCCCGGGTCGCATTAATTGTAAACAGTATGCAGTGAAAACATTATTTCAACATAGTATTTGTATTATAAATTAAAATAACGGACATATGTATACAGATATAATCAGGGAATGGAAAGTTACTTTTTAAAAATAACTAGTTACAGTTACTCGTTACCGAGTAAAAAATGTAACTAGTTACAGTTACAGTTATCGCTTTTTAAAAGTAACTCGTTACAGTTACCGTTACTTGAAAAATAACTTTTCGTTACTTTTCCGTTACTTTTTTAAAATCAATTTAAAAATGTACTTTTGCATTTTTTTTTTTTTATATGTAATACTGCGACAAATATATAGTTTTATTTAAAAAAAAAAAAAACAATGTAGAATGGCTCAAATAATAAATTAAATAAAAGTAAAATGAGAAGGGTTACGAGCCAAAAATGAAACAGTTTATTTCCGATAAGAACGACGATGACAATGTAATTAAATGTATAAATATATATTAGAACAATACATAGATAAAACAAGATAAAAACAAACGACGTTTCGACACTTATTGTCATCGTCTTTTAAACTGTTTCGCTTTTGGGTTCATAGCCCTTCTCATTTTACTATTATTTAATTTATTTTTTAATTTTTTTTAAACACAATTTTGTAATTCTAAAACCTGTAAAATATGCAGCAAACTGAAATATTTGTATGTCCTATGTATTACATAGAAGATAGAAGTGTAAAATAATTACTGAATCATAACGGCCGAATGTCTAAGGGCTTTCAAGTCTTATTGATAAGCGCTATAAATAGCATGTATCCAATCGAACCGTGTTCAATCGTGTGCAAAGTAACGACAAAAGTAACTGTAAATTTCGTTACCGTTACCCAAAAAATGTAACTCGTTACCGTTACAGTTACCAAAAAAAGAAAGTAACGCAGTTACCAGTAAAGTTACCAAAAAAGTAACTTGTAACTGTAACTTCGTTACAAGTAACGAGTTACTTCCATTCCCTGGATATAATATATTATACGTATAACATTGTGATGTAAATTGTAACTCGAAAACTGTTGCTCGGATGGAAGAAAGTTAAATCAGAAAGTTGTAGATATCAAAAAAATCTATCAATTTGTTTCTATAATAATTATCGATAGGTGGCGTACTTTTCGAGTTATATCGAAAAAACCGTCAAAAATCGAGTTCTCTAGATCTCGTTAACTGTTTCCTTTATAAAGTTGTTACTTCTTGCAAATATAGCTTATGACAAGCTGAAAAAGTGCTTTTTTTAAAAATTTAAAAATATCGATTATTTTTCGAGATAAATCGATTTTTAGAGAAAAAGATGCTCTCATAAATTGGCTAGATCTTCTCAGAGGATGATCGTAGAGTAACGATTGAGGGCTTATTTTCCTCGTCAAGAGTTGTACTTTATTCCTGACATTTTTTCACGTATTTAAAAAAAAAATTAATTTTTTGCGACCTTCTGGAGCGGAGATGGTATTTTTTTTTTAAATAAATGTGTAAGGCGCAATAAACAGTTTACAACAGCAGACTTCAAGGACGTTGAAGTTTAATACCTGTACTTTCAAATAAAAAATACTACAATGCGTTTACATGTTTTAGAGTGTACACAATTGAGTGATAAAGTGGATTACTAATTAAACAACAGATTCACTATAATACAGTTGACAATTATAGTCACTTTCGGTGTGTCTTATATGTGACTGGCGTAATGAAGAATACACTTGGTCAATTATATTTATCTCATATCTGTTTTGGATCAAGAAGTTCAATATCTTTTTTATGCACATGGCGTATGTTTTTTTCTTTTTTTTAAAAAAGGTTTTTTTAAGAGATAGAATATAACCGAAATAATCCGTTGTGTTGATGCTTCTAGTACCTTCTATACCGTTATTGGAAAAGAAAGATACAAAGGTAGGGTTCCCTACAAGGGGGGCTACGTAAGTACAAAGAGTGACTACTGAAGCGGCCCTACCTGCTGTGCGCTCGAGTCTGTAGCCTGTATCCGATAAACGCTCGGTTCTATGCTCATAAAATCTAAACGAATGCGAATTTCGCTTTGAAAATTTGGCAGCGTATTCTTGGATTGTTAAGCTAACGATTTAAGCAATAAAAAAAATCGATTTTTTTTTTTAACCTTTATTGTGATTCCCCCCAGAATGAGAAAACGAAATGTAATAGATAGCCTAATAAAAGGCGCAGAAAAATTGAAAAAGTATTTTTACCTCGATAACAAATAGAAAATCATAGAGACAATCGAAAATGAGCAATATCTCCAGCAACATATATACTTGACGCGCCCGTTTTTTTCAGTAATATATCCATCTCTCATATATACATCTCTCTCTTTCTCTTCAGATTATATATATATTAGAAGGAACACTTAAATCCAGTTTGGAAAGTTCCATGCCAATCATGTGCTGCAGATTCAATTCAATCCACAGCGAGATCTTCTATGCTTCCAGTGCCTGCGGAATTATTTTTATGTGTAACATACACACTAAAGAGTTTTCCCGATTTGTATTTGGTAGATGAATAATGTTTAATTACATCGCATGCAATACTGTATTCCTTATATTTATTTGAGCTGAACTGGAGGCTCTGATGAAGGAAATGGCTCGTTTGGAGATTATCGTTAATCGTATGGACTTCTATCATTTCGGTCAAGATTCTTTACCGTATGAGTTTCGTGTTAAAGCTATACCTATGCTATTTGCCCGGCAATAAAATTAATATTCCGTACAATCCAGAAAATGTGTACATTCCTTTACTTGATACGAATGAGCAATCGCTGGGAATATAATTACAATATGATATAGAATATATATTAGTTATTTTTGAGTTATGTTATTTTTTAGTCATAGCGTTTGCGATTTTGTGTATGTCAAATGTACGTCAAATTTGTACATACAAGAATATTAATCTGTATAAAAATTAATATTATTTTATATTAATTAGCACATATATGATAATAATATATTTTTGATAAATACAAGTAAATGGGAATGTGCAAAAGGTATTGATGTTGTATAATTTAAAAAGTTTATGTAAATTGGAATTATTTTGATATTGTTCAATAAAAAAAATTTTTACAACTTGTATTCTGTTGATCGATTTTTGATATAATTTATTTTGGCGAATTTTTTAGAACTAAAACCGTCTTATATCAGTTAATTATTAATTTAATTTGGCCATAATTAAATTTAAATTTATAAAATTATGATTCAATTTTAATCTGAATAACATACGTACATAAATTGTGTGATGACAATTTAACATCTATTAGTTGAAAATTTTATGTAGTTATAATAAATTATATAAAATTTTGAACTAATGGATATTAAATTATTATAATTATATAATTATTCTCAAAATTGATGGATGTTAAATTATTGACATAATTATTGATTTATTAAATGATTCTTAATTTTTTTGTATTTGTTACATATTACAATACTATATTTGAACGATATCGTCAAAATATAATATAATACTTGAAAAATGATCCTAGATAAAACGTTGGAGACAAATTAAAACAAAATCTCAAAGATGTCATAATAAATCAAAAAGTAGATGTCAATATTTTTTCTGGTAGTTTTATAAGATATCTTCGAAATTTGAAGACAATGTTTACATAACGTTATAATTTCAAGACAATGATTTCATAACGTTATAATTTTATTTTCTTCTTCGATATTTGCACTCTCTGTTTGCTGATATTTCGTTTGGCATGTTTGGAACCTAAATTATTTAAGTATATTGCTTCATGAAACGGATGGATAGGACAGCATTAGACAAATTGTCAAAGATCAAATATCTATATGTGTTAAAATTTAAATTATAAAAGTTATTAAGGTAGTTAGACCTAGAACGCAAAATTATTTAATATTTGATATTAAAATTTAGATTAATATATATATTGATTTTGCATCTTGCTGTGTTGTATTCCGAAATTGCTTCTCGGTCTTGCCCTCTTAATCGTAGCGATCCAAAGCCTTTACGATGACGTTGACAAATCTTAGGCATCGTTGAGATTTGTCTAGAATATTCTTAAGTTTCGCTATAACGGTCTATCTATTCGAATTTTTGAACAGTCACGCGATAAAAATGGCAACCGCCTGTTCGCAAGAATCTATGGCTGCTCTCAGGCTGCGTTTTCACTGCAAGTAGTGAAAAGCTATAGTATACGTAACGCGAACTATAAATTTTCAGTACTTGCAGTGAATAACGGAACATAGCTTCAGAAAGCCTGAATTTTTCAATTGGGCGCATTCAGCAGAAAAGAGCTCTACTAGAGCGCTCGCTGTTATTGGTGCATTCTTCTAGATCATCCAATCAGAATTTTAGCTCTGGAAGAATATACCAATAACAGCGAGCGCTCTAGTAGCGCTCTTTTCTGCTGAATGCGCCCAATCAAGTGGCGCCGCCATGATACAAACCTACGCCACCTACTGGTAACGTTAAACCGCGATGAGACATGAAGAACGTGGCAGAACTAGCCAGAACGTGGTTGTGTACGGTCATTGGACTTCATTGGACTCATCTCTCCATTTCTCTACGAAACCTGTGCATATATGCATCGAGGATACTTAGGTGAGTGATTGAAAATATTTTGTGCTGCGTTCGGAAATATCACTCGAGTACCCCCGTGTATCGTCTTATCCTTGTTTGACATTGAATGAATACCAAGGATAAGACGATACACGGGGGTACTCGAGTGATATTTCCGAACGCAGCATGGATAAATCGCCTAAGACTGATTGTGGACATCGATTAATTTGGTAAAGGTAAAGAATACCCCGCTCCTCTTCAATTTTAATAAAAATATACTCAATCGATGGGTTTTTGCATGAAACGAAAGAATCTGACAGAAAAAAGTGTCGCTTTGCACTACGAACCGAGATATTTAACGTTAAAGTTGATGACTATTCAGGTAAGGAAATCTGTCTTTTCGACTACTGTTAAGAATTAGCCTCGGTTTTAGTTTTACAATAAAGTTTATTACGAATTATTTCAACTAAACTATTACATTCAATCAGAGCGAGCTGTCTCAAAGGAAGGCAAACAAACGTCCGAAGAAGTGAAGCTGGCGAGAGACAAAAAAAACAGCACACAATTCAGGAAAAAATAAACATCACTATCATAAAGACATGTTCACAGTAAATTCGCAGATTGGATTCTTATTTTAAAATCTAGCGCCATCTAAGAACTACCTCAACGATTATTCTTTCTCCAACACCCTCTCTTAATCGTTGACTATTTGAACATGTTTCTTTAGTCTAAATAATTAAATCTTTAGAGTGATATAACTATTCCTTAAAATTCAACGCATATAGATATTTATATGACTCTTAAACAATAGACTTGTCTTAACTCTTAAACTTAAAAGAAAATATCTATATTCAAATTTTAATTTAATTATAAAGAACGTTTACATAGAATAAGTAACAAACTTTATTTGCTTAAAATTAGATTTTTAAACTTCTCAAATTTAATATTACCGAGTGGTTTGGTAAACACATCTGCTATTTGTTCGTCGCTGGGACAATACTTTAGTTCTAATATATTTTCTGCATATTTTTCATTTAGAAAATGATATCGAACATCTATGTGCTAGAGACCTAGAAAACAGAGATGCGTCATTGAAGGGTATGGCTTGATTGGCTGTCTAAATCACGTGATCAGAGAGCTATTTTAATTCACTATTGCATCTAATAGATACAGTTTTATAACGTATGTACATATATATATATATATAGAGAGAGAAAAATTTAGACAATACAGTGTCGAAGTGCAATGAACAACTATTA